TATATATATATATATATTCTAAGCCTGACATGTTTTTCAGTGAGCTCTATTTTACAAAAAAAAAATGTCTTATTTCCTTTGAAGCAAAGCATAAAAACAAAACCTTTGGTTAGGTTTAAAACTTTTGCACAGCACTGCTTCTATCATTAAAAACTGTATCTGCATCTTGTAGGTGGAGCAGGACAAGGCACAGAACTTCCTCTCAGCCAGCCGCCGCAGCCCACTCCACCATCCAGTGCCACCAACACCCTGAGCGCCAACAGCTGTCCAGGAACCCCCGAGATGCAGCGGCGCAGGGAGGGGGCCGTCAAACGACTAGCTTCAAAGGTAGAAATCTAAGCCGACAGTGTTTGCATTAAAAAAATCAAATCCATGCCAGTAAATCAAGTTAAATTGCAATTAGCATTTCTAAAATAAAGATTTGATGCTTCTAAAAGGACTTGTGGCACTCGCTCGACAAACGATGTGTTGTGTTCATAGCCTCTGGCAGGTGAAGTGCAAACCTGTTTATCGTATTAAAAAGCCTCATTTTATTAAAGAAAAAAACAGTATTTTACACTTGGTATTTTTTCAAACATTTTGTAAGACCAATCACACCAAGCATATAGCAACAGATGGCAATCTGAAGGCATCTGATATGAGGAAACCCTATCCAGAAACAACCCACCCCACAATCCACAGGGCGCTAACATCATACCACATAGTTTGAACCAGATATATCATGATATATCATGTTATTTTTGACCATCAAAGGATACCATTAGCTGTCAACGAGTGCCTTTTATTCCAGACACTTTTAGGACCACAGCCATGTCTTTAAATATACAGATGTAGACATCTTATATGTGTGAACTTACAAACACATCTCTCTTTAGGTACTCAAAATATATTTGTGTTAAGTACAAGTCAAGATCAAGTCAAGTTTATTGAATTCGCATCACATGTGGTACGTAAGGTGGACCAAAATTATGTACTCAGGATCCCAGTTACACCTAAAAATAGCAAAAATATAAAGTGTAAAAAGAAACAGTATATAAGGATCTAAGATATACACTAAGATAGACGCTAAACAAATGTCAAACGGGACGTTAAAAGATCCAAAATAAATGCTAAACTAATAATGTAAAATAATACAGTATATTAAACAGTAGCCCATCCAACATCCAACCACCACTGTATCATCTGCAAACTTTACAATATGGAAGCCTGGATGGGTAGGTGCGTAGTCATATGTGAGCAGAGTGAACAGGAGGGGGCTCAACACACAGCCCTGAGGGCTAGTTACTGCCTACTGTATAAAAAATCTTGTTAACAGGTGAAATCAACACTAGCTTTTCTTAAAAGGCTTTTACATTATTTTATTGTATTGTGTGAACAACGTTGTTTGGAGGTAAATTATTTTCTGCCTAAAATGGAGAAGTCATCCAACCACTTGTGTGTGTCGAATTGAAATGACAGTCTTAATGTGTGCAAGTTTCAAGTTGGGTTCAGATGAAACAAACTGCTGTTTTTATCTCATAATTTTGTGTATATTAGGTTAATATTTTCAAACATTTAATCTGTTTAATAGGCTTAGCTGTTTACTCCTGTTTTTAGTCTTTGTGCTAAAAGTGACTGAAGTTTCATGTTGAACAGAAGGTGAGTTTCGTTTGGATCATATTTACTAAAACTCATAAGAAAAGTTGAAACAGGCTCGCCAGCAGACCTTTTATGTTATTTTACATTATCAAAATTGATAGGCTAATAAACAAGTCATCACCAGATTAAGATGTACCTTCTTATTATATTCTTCTTTTTTTTCCTCTCTCTCTGTCCTCCGGTGAAAACCAGACGTGTCTCCCTGGTCTCCCCC